GACTTCTCCTCGTCACTCGTTATGCGAAACGTCGCTCGTTAAGCGAGTAATTTTTCTTACAATTAATTTTGCTCGTTAAGCGTACATAACTTGACACATTCTTACAATCATTTTAAACGTCTTATAGAGATATGTTAAAATTAATTCAATATTTGAGACTTCGGTCGATAGTCTTTTTGCCTACATTGTAGCCAATAAGTATATTTAAATAAATAATATTACAATTATACTAACAATTTTAATATCATAATTTTCATGTTAATTATTTTTATATTTTGTTGAGGTTTTTTTTTAGAGTTTAATTAAATTTATTTATATTTCATAGCTAATATAATGGAAGTAATTAATAAATTTATTGCCTATTTTTATTCATAATATATTTTTTAATTATACAAAACCGTTCGAGGAAAAACAACAGAAGAATTTATTTTATTTTATTTTTTATTTAATTTTTTTGTTCAATGCAAGATACATAAATATAAAAATAGTAATGATTATTGCAATAATTATACCAAAAGTGAACATAAGTAAATACATATAGATAATTATAATAACTATTCCATCCTAATAATAGTATTTATATATATATAATAATATTTATTGTAACAAATCATAATACATACTCAAAAAAAAACAAAATATATAACAATAATATAAAAATAACAAATTGATCTGCTACAAAGGGCTATTGACCATAGGTCTTTCTGCCCTCTATAAATATATTAACATATATTTGCTTCTCTGTAAGTGTTGATTTTGGAAATTGATAAACCAATTGCAATAAAATTGATTGAATCAAGAAAGCATATGTTTTCTTTATAAGTTCAGTTATAAGTTGCTCTAAAATTGATTTGTTTATATTTCATGTTTTTTTTTTAAAATGATAATATTAACACGGAAACATTAAACTGCACCACTTAAATCAATTAATAGAAGATATCAATGTTCGTTACACAGATTTAGAAAATTTAGATGTCCCGTCTTGGTTTATAAAAGCTTCTGAAATCGACACATCCGATATTGATATTTTGAAATATGTGGATTTACCAGACTTTGGAATTGCAAAGACATATGCAAACAATACGTCAGATTAATAAACATCTCCTAGCCATTATTTTAGATTATACTAATTCATATTAATTATTATAAGAAGAAAAATATGAAATGGATGAAGCGCTAAATAATTGAAAAAGTTTATAAAAAGGTCTAATTTTATTTCAGTCATTAAATAATAGTACATTTAATTTAAAAATCCCAATCGCCTTCGACTTCCCAACCGTAGCCAGTGTGACTTTTTCCACGATTATTCCATTGCTTGTTAACATTTGCACCTACTGATACCCTGCCGTTGCCGTCTTCGGTCTCGTACTGTGTTTTACCACTAACTTTTGCGTGGCTGTTTCCCCTTTGCTGTTTTTCCGCATCGACGCCCACTTTGCTTTCTACAAACGATAAGATAATTCAATTAACACCCATAGTTTGAACCGTGAAAATTGTCTTACGGGACGGTTTGTGCGTGTAGATTCCTTTGGCACCCAAAACATCACCCTTCTTAGGATCGTTGTATCCGTACGTTTTGTGTTTAATATTATGGTCACTATCTCTGATTTAAAAATAACAATTATTAATTAACTTGAAAACAACTTTTGATTTTTTTAAGTTTACCTTTTCATCCTAGCCAAGCGGCATTCTTCGGTAGGAATCATCAAGAATGCTTCTCCTTTCTCGTTGTATACTACTGTATCTAATGTGGTATCAGCTGCAGGATAAGCTGCACACAAAGCTGCGCTGAGCGCAAATAATGCGAATAATTGTCTGAACATGTTGATAGAATGTTGTGTGATTACTCTCTGATCCGCAGCTTCTGCTGTATCACAGTTTATATTTCGTACTCGGCGTATATTCCCATTGAGTAGCCTTGCTATTGGGGAATAACCTAACCCATGTATAGCGAACGAAGCGTTTATCTTTCTGCACTTATTTTTAATTCGCTTTATCTCACTTTCTTTGTACTTTCCTTGATGCTCAATCACCGTGACTTATAACCATAAAGCCAATTATAGTGAACTAGTATATTTATGAAAAATAGAATTAAAGGACTTTACATATTCATTTCTTAAAAAAAAAACAAAAAAAATATTTCTTCATTTAATTAATTTGTTTGTCTCATAAAATCGATAAATTTTAAGAACTAACTAATGTGTTCACGCCAATAATATTTTGAAGTTTTATTATTTCCTTGAATTTCAAGTAAATGGAATCGGCGAAACAATCTTTCGATATTTTAATGGTCCAAAAAAGCTTCAATAGCCGTGACTCACGGATCGTGGTATTTCCTCTAGACTCGATTTGAAGGATACAACAATAGGAAACAAAAAGATCTCAAGAGTTTCTTAGAATTTACAGAATCACGAGATAAATAATATAATTCTCCCAGCAAGAAAATATAAAATTAATGCCCTTTGTATCAGTTGACTTTTTTGAAATTAAATATATTTATTTTGTTCTTTTTATTTCTGTATATGTTTTTTTTTGTACGACTGATGCAATAAACATTATTATTATAAAATTAATTAATTAATTATTATTTATTTACACATTTACATTCATTTCAGTTTGGGATATATTCATTATTGAAAATAATTTTTACTTAAAAATCGTGTAAAAACAATACAGTGGAACCTCGCTTAACGAACACCTCGCATAACGAGCATTTCGTTTAACGAGCATAATTAATTGTAAGAAAATTGACTCGCTTAACGAGCGACGTTTCGCATTACGTGACTTGACGATGAGAAGAGAAGTACCGAATTGCGCGCCTTTTACATCATTTTTAAAACTTGTGTACACATATTATGTGTATTTTTGGATATGTTTCACTATAGGAGTAAAAATCCGGAAATTTTGGAACGGATTAAACTCGTTAAGCAAGGTTAAGTCTTTTTTTTGTTTATTTAAAATCTGACATATACAACAAAAATAAATAACATGTGAAATTGTTTATCATAATTTATGTATATAATGTGATAACTATTCAGTGCAAGATTGTTTTACTAATTTTGTTTTGAATAAACTTGAAACTATGAAATAAACATTTATTGCCTTAATCCGGCCCTGAATAGGATTTGTACAGCCGAAATAGCTCAGTTGGGAGAGCGTTAGACTGAAGATCTAAAGGTCCCTGGTTCGATCCCTGGTTTCGGCAATTACTTTTTGTATTTAACACTTAAAATAATAATTATAAGCATTACATTAAAATACGGTGATTATGACAATTGCAAGTTTACAAATACAGTGGAACTTCGCTTAACGAGCAAAATGAAATGTAAGAAAAATGACTCGCTTAATGATCTACGTTTTGTATAACGAGTGACGGTGAAAAGATCATCTTAGTATTGTTTGTGATCAAAAAATTTTCAAACTTGTATTTAGACATGTTATTTGTGTTAACTTTTGTGAATAAAATGCCAAAGAATAAAAATAACATATATATGGTATAAAAGCAAAATCATTAAAAATCGAGACAAAGTTATCCTTTTTTTTCTCCGGCATAGAACAAATTATCGTAATTATCGTTTATATGGGGAAAACTGTTTCACTATACGAGTATTTCACTGTACGAGTAAAAATCCGGAAATTTTGAAACGGAACTCGTTAAGTGAGATTCCACTATACAAAATATTCATACGATTCACTAGAATTAACGTTGAACAAAATATACAAATACAATTGCCGACGTGCTTATTTACAACGACATACCACATTTTGACGTGTGCTTAACAACTTATAAGATTTTCAGAGCTAATTTTGCGAATATCCACATGTGAAATATTAGTTGGTAACCACTTAATTACAATGTGAATTAGGGTGTAAACGTATTAACTTTGTATATTAATAAATAAACAATCACATTTATGTATCACATGTATTTATTACCATATTTAAAATATTATGTAAAAACACTCGAAATATTTTAATATGAATTGCTGAAAAATTTACTTACTTCCGGTTTATTGCTGGTTATGCAACCATCCTCAACCCTTTACAAATATATACAGCCGAAATAGCTCAGTTGGGAGAGCGTTAGACTGAAGATCTAAAGGTCCCTGGTTCGATCCCTGGTTTCGGCAATTACTTTTGTCAAGCAAACATAACGAATAATATATATCGTTGTTTATATTCATTACGAAGTTTAGTTAAGTCTGATTTATAAGAAATTAGAAAAAAGGAAATATTTACTTAATGATAAATTGTTTAATTATGTTTAGGTGGTTTAGTATAACCTAATCGTAAATGAAAAAAAAACAATGTTTATTATAATAAATGTTTTTTTAATTGATTTTGAAGAACAAAACGTATTTCTACACAGTCAATCAATTCTATTAAAATAAATGCTGATAAATTCAATATCTATATAAAGCTTGTTATATTTTCTTAAGTGTGACAGAGGAAATTAAATAATAAACTTTGCAAAGGGATTTCCCAAATCCCCAGCTTATCTCAGTGCGAGACCATGCACGAGTATTACTATATATACTGCGATACTCGCACTGCAGAGATCAAACTGAAACCAGACTTGGAACAATCATGTTCAAACAAATATTCGTGGTCCTCGCAATTTGCGCTACCTTCGGTTTTGCCGAACTCGAACAAGTGTTCGATCGTCAAGGTCAAGAGTTCTATTTGATCCCAGCCGAAGAATACAACTTAGTACGTCACAGGAGAAGGTATAATTATTAATAAATAAGCAAATAATAAAATTTAAACAATAAATATTCATTGTAGAGCTGAACGTATTCCAACTGATCACAATATTAGAGGAAAGTTGTACGGCAGGGACGATCCCAATTACGGTGAAGTTTATGGGGGAAGGGCGACTTACACACACAGGCCTTCCGGTAATAAGAATTTAATATATACTTTCAATAAAAATTCGATTTAAATGTATTGAATTTGTATTGTAGATAGTCAATTTAGCGTTGGGGGTGAAAGAAGGCAAAGGGGAGGCAGCAAAATTGACGCTAAGGGACAGTACAACTTCTTTGAGACCAATGATGGTAGAGGAACGATCGGTATCGGTGGACAAGTTTCCAGGACAAATGACGGTCGCGGACATCATCGTACCGATTATGGAGCTCTCCTTGAAGGAGAATACAGATTCTAATTTATACTTGTAGTCAAATCTACCATTCTTTTCTAATAAATTGTATTATTTTATAAATATTTTTTATTATTGCATTTATGAACAACAATATTCATATTTACAAAACAAAGAGATGAAATCAACACGATCCATGTGATGACAAAATCAAATTGATGCTAATTTTCAACAAATTTTCAAACCAACATTGATTTCTTATTACTTTTTAATTATACAGTGGAACCTGCTTAACGAGTTTAATCCGTCCCAAAATTTTCGGATTTTTACACTTATAGTGAAATACTCGTATAGTGAAACATATTGAAAAATACACATAATATGTGTACACAAGTTTTAAAAAAGATGTGGCAAACGCGAAATCCAGGACTTGTCTTCTCATCGTCACTCGTCTCGCATAACGTCGCTCGTTAAGCGAGTCATATTTCTTACAATTCATTTAGCTCGTTAAGCGATTTTCCACTGTATATTGAATATAATATAACACATATTATCATCACAATTACTATTTCTACAATCTGTTAACAAATAGTTATAACTGAACTATAGAAGAAATTCAAAGAGTTATCAAACAGTTTCTTTAATTAACTTTGTTCATTGCACTAAAATATTATATTGAAACATAACGAATATTATCAAAAATGTTGTATTTATTATTAATTCTAGGTGCTTCGATAAAATTGTTGAAATTTGAAATAAGTTTTTCAAAACGGAAATGTCAAATGTTTATTTTTTCTTTTATAAATTTAACTGTATATTCACTGAAAATATTAACTAATTCAAGTTACTTGTGTACAATGATACAAATGTTTACAATTTAAAATAAGGTTTTCAAAACATCAATGCAAATGTATTTATTTTCAATCATCTAATGAAATCTTTTGATAAAGTTTCAGTAGACCTGTTTGTTATAAAATTCATTGCCAATCAATCGCATTTCATCTCGAGAACGAAAATATTATTATTTTTGCAGTTAAAGCAATGTTGCACAAGGTTATCAAATATTTGGAAATGGGCATATAATACTGGATATGTTCCGTATATAAATATTGATGAACATTTTTCGAGATCATACTGAATTTAGATTTGAACGAATATGTTTAAACACATTTTTCTATTGGTCGCGGTTTACGCTGTTTTGGGCTTCGCGGAGCCTTTACAAGTATACGATCGGCAAGGACGTGAGTTTTACCTAATTCCAGCTACAGACTTGCATTCAGTTCGTCAACGGAGGTAGGTTGCACAAGTTATTTTGTTTATATAGAAATTTGAATGAACGTTGTTTTTGTAGAGAGGTCCGAATACCGACCGATCATAACATTAGAGGCAAAGCCTATGGTTATCAAGACTCTAAGTACGGCGAGGTGTATGGTGCAAGGGGCATTTACACGCACAGACCTTCAGGTAATATCAGAAAAAAATTAAGATTTTCGAAATGTAATTTTTACATTTTAGAGAGTCAAGTAAAAGTTGCTGGAGAAACACGTCAATTCGGAGGAAGTAAAGTTGCCGCTCAGGGAAATTACAACTTCTTCAGAACGGATGATGGAAGGGGAACAATCGGTGTTGGTGGTAAATATACAAGAAAATCCGATGGTTTTGGACACAATCGTAACGACTACGCTGCAATCTTGGAAGGCGAATACAGATTTGGATAGACATTAATTATGAAATTATTCAATAAATTAGTACTTGTCTATGCTTTGTTTTTCTTGGCTTGAAAAAAATCTTTGAGAATCTAGCTTGCATGATCTATATAAGCTATTTTTTTCACAAAAAATGCTTGCAAAAGAAAATTTTTGATTATTTCTCTAATATTAAATAATTAATATTTATTGAATCACAAATGTAAGTAAATAAATACAATCATAACAAAATTAAAAAAAAAAACAACTTTCCGACCTCTCTAATAACATTTTATTAGAATTTGAAAATATTTTAAGTAATTACAAAACAGAAGATTTATAAAATCTTTGAAAATTTATCTTTAAACATTTTCATATAGTGTTCAAATATATTGAAGTATGGCATTTAATTGAACATCAAAATTCATATTTTGTTTGTGTATTTAATAAGAAATGGTACTTTAGGTGTAACAAATCTGGGATGAATATGTATTAAGGTAATAAAATGCATGTATAATGTAAAACAAATATATTTAATAAAACTAAATAAATATGGAAACAGTAAGATCGTTATTTTAGTAATTCTAGTCGAGTTTAATTATCACAGCCGCGTCTGCATTTGAGTAAATACTCTCGCTTAATTTCTTCATTGCTCGTTAGGAGGTTCCTCCGCATTGGCGTTGGCTGCATCCGGTTTGTAGTCCTTGTTTTCGACGACGTCCAAAATATTTGCATTCCTGCGGGGTTAACGAAAGCGTGTAATTAAAGTTTACATTTAATTTGTAACGTGAGTATTTACCTCGAATATCGTGTTCTCTGGATTAAATCGACCGGCACTAAATAATACGGTGTTCCCTGCTCGTCGTGGACCTTGTGGATTTCGTCCAATTTCGAGAAGGCCATGCACGAAACGGCGCACAGCGTGACTGCCAAAAGGACCAATTTCGGATGCATTTTTCAAACAATCGATAGCAACTGAACGTTTGCGACAACTCGAATTTATATTTATACGCGCGCATGCAGGTTTTGATAAAGAGCGAGTGTAAATGGGGAATAACCGAGTTTGCAAAGCGGCGATAACCTCTCTTTCTCTCGCTCGACGCTTAAATGGCAACAAATATCAAAACCTGGGTTATACCAGACTTAATTCCCTCGGGGTCGTAAAAACATATTTTTCCCCAGATTAAAATATTATTATTTTTTGTGCGTATTCCTTGAAAGTTCAAAGGATGTATTCTTTCTTCTATGGTACAATTCATGCAAAAGAAAAATTTTCCAACCTCCATTCATATACCATGTAAATACAGTCGATTCCTCTTAATCGGAACAGTCGCTTATTAGGCACAAGTCCTAAACAAAACCGAGCAAATAATAAATGAAAATGGAAAATATATAGTAAACTTAATAAGTTTTTTTTAAAGAATGTTTTACACCATTATTTAAAAAATAAATAAATCTTACAAAATTGTTTTCCTCAATCACTTTAATTCTCATTTTTACTAATAATAAATATTTATAGAATCAATGCTATTGATAAAGTCATTAACATTTATAAATAAATGAAAGATCCTTCACACACTATCATATTTCCATTGAGACTAGATTATATAAATAAAGTTTGATAAGAACATTCTATTAATTTTACATCTTTCTTTCACCACTTCAATGAATATTTGTATTTACAAAAAGTGTAAAAAAAATATTAATAAATTTTGAAATAAAATATATTAGTTAATAAACTTTTATATATTTATTTGTATTTATATAAAAATTATCAATTGATAATTAATTTATATAAATATACAAACATGAAATCTTATTTGGTACAAACATTTACGTATTGCATTACTTGTATATTAATTATCTACATATACAAGTAATGCAATACGATGATAAACTTGGAAGTAACTTAATTGTGAATAACATATGCAATGTGTATATAACGCTTGACTGGTTGCCTATACGACTATTTATTTAAGGACGAGCTAATGAATAAGGTAATCCTGAAAAACATGTTATAATATTTGTTGAAATATCATATACGTAATGAATACTTATATTAAAGTAATATAAGTATTCATTAGTATGTGAAACTAAGAAATTGTAATCGATTATTTACTAGCAGAGTTTTTATTTATATAATAGATATTATTAATATTTATATCAATCAAGTATATAGCTATTATTAAATATATATTTTTTTTATTTGTTTTAGGTAAGTCATCTTCAACCATTATGTTGTAAGTAAATAAATTATTTCTAAGCAATTAAATAAACATAATACTTATATTCAAGTCAGAAAGACTTGAGTAGAAAATCAATAAAAATGTCGAAGGAAATTTCTCTAAATTTATAAAGGTTTTTCAGATTTATTAATTAAAATTGAATGACAGTTATAATTCATAATATTCCCTTAAGATTTTATCTATTTGCATTTTACTTGTATACACATTTAAACCGCGCTTAACTGAGTTCTGAGTAAGGATTATACCAATTTACGTTAATTATTATGGTTTTTGGACATCTCGGTTTTTTACGGTCAACATCCGAGTTTCTTTTTTTCATTTTTTATTTTATTACGATTAAATTTAGTTTCATATATAAACTTTGCATTGATTTAATTATTTAACGTGGTTGCTTATTTTCTATATGAATAATTGCATTCGGTGTGAAGTCAGAAATAATAATGAATGCTTAAATTATAAATACTAAGAACTAATTTCATGCATCATTTGAATCCGTAATTGTTTGGAATAACGTGCGATCTTTGCAATCCTCTGCATCTTGTCTTATAAACTTCCAAACGCTATACTTCTCAGATGCGGAAAGCCATAATCATACGTCGGCAGAGGAAATGTGCAAATTTAATTATTGTAACTTGGCCGTTCCAAGATGGAGAGTTGGAAGAGACTGCCGTCGGGACTTCCACGAAGCCTATTTTAATTAAAACTCAAACTATCCCTTCGGACTTTATCTCACCAGAGGAACATTCCCTCATAATTTTCTTTTGTCCCATCTAAAGTTTGGTGATTATTCGTCTCGCCCGTCCTCGGGCATACATCCCGATGGGACTTACTGTTTGCACAGCGAAATGATTTTTGAATTCAACCCCTAAACTGTCTGCGTCTGGATGCGCCGGTGTATATGCATGTACGTATGTATGGATGTGGATTCATTTTGTGTGTACACAGGGAGAAGTGTGTCGGTTCGTTTGGCACGCTATTTGCTTTATAAGTACGTGCCTCGCGTATGTGCGCCAATATTAAATTAAAATTCTTCCTGTACCACCAATTTTTGTTTTGTATGTTATATTTCGGGGTTTTTTTTGAGTACCAAAAAAAGACAACCCGGATGTTTCAATCCCGTTGTTTCGTGTCAGCTGCTCATTTATATATTTTTTTCCCAGTTACGCCTGAAACGGATTCCGAACTCGCCGCAAAATTATATTAAATATCAAAGCTCAACACTGATTGAAGCTTTTTTTTTGTTGGATGCATCCATTATTTCATCGCTTACGCTATTTATTTCGTTCTGCATTTCTATTTTTTTTTTAATATATTTTTGGGATGCGAAAGATTTTTGAATGCGCAAATTTCGCACGCGTTTGCGAACTCAATTTCCTTCTTGCATCCGGAGAACCGAGGGACGGAACAAACGCAGAATTTAAATGCGGCTCTGGCGGTTTTATGTTTTCCCGAATTTCCTAACAGTTTTCCCCGATTTAGTTGGGAATGCAAATCGATAGCGCCATGCATGGACCTTTTTTATGCTTTATTATTTACTTGTAAGAGGGAGAGATGACTTATACAGAAGATGCTCTGAAGGGATTTCTTGCATCCACGCGGAAATCGAAGTGCGTTGCGCGTAAAGCGCTCTTATGCAAGAAGCTCTTATAAACAACTGGTTTTGCTCACAGAAATTAAATCTATGGTTAACGCATGGTTCGTTGAATGGTTATAACAGATAATATGAAATTTGCGTAGGCAGATCCGTGTGGTTTTAAGTAACACTTTCGTTTCCTTATGCCAAAATCCGCTGGTTTCCTACTCAAATCCAACTGGATAACGCAAATTCCTCATATTATTTATATATCATATATTTTCTAATTTTCCATTAATAACATCAATACCAATTTCTAATATCATCTAAATCAGTGTTCTTCAACCTGTGGTCAGATTTTGTAATATTTTTTATACTTTCGGTATTGATGAAATCAAAAGCACTTTTTTTAAAATTAACTATGAGATAATATTATTGTCATTTTAAGAACATAGACTATCATTCAATTCAAAATATTCTTTGAAAAGTATAAAAACAAGCATTACTTGTTACGCGCAGTTATTCTCCTTTCGAAAATAATAATATGTACGCTCTCATGTTCGATCAATATAATTAGTTCGCATAAACTGATTTGTACATTCTAGGCTAATAGATTTGATTGCGAACCGGTTTATATATTCCTGCACATAAAACCAGGAAGCATATACTTACTTATACGCATAATAACGTATGATAAAATAAGAAGAAACTCCTTTCGATCGGTTCCATTGAGATATAGACAATATTACGATGCATTAACACATTCAATAAACTATTATCTATTATCTACATTAATACAAATACTATATTTTACAAAGCCCGTATCAATTACTCGTATAGTATTTCAATTCAATGTTAGTTGATTATCATCATACTTAATAGCCACATGGTCGTTGCACTATTTTATTAGAATTGAGTCTTCAGTCTTAATAAAATCAATAAAAAAAATAACATTTTGAAAAATTATACAATTTCTACTTTGACAACTTAGATTTTAATTTAAATTTTGCATTTTGTATATAAATATAATTATTTCCAGTACAAAAAACTATGGTCAATTTGTATGTAGTTTATTTGTTTAATGCAATAGTCACACAGAACATTATGTAAACAAAAATTAAATAAAAACATATAGATAATTTCAATTATTCACAATTAATGTCGAGCTATCAAACATAGGTCTTTTCACACAACACATTAAGGCAATTGTGTTTAGTTTATTGAATGTGTTTATTTTGTGTTTTT